TTGACTAGTATGTCTTTTAGATGGATTCTTTTGAATGCGCCTTTGAATTAGGCCAAATAACAAAAAAGATGTGTTTCTCGTCCCGCCCGGCTCCTTTTTGGCAGCCGCCTCCTTTTTATTACTATTTACTGTTCAGAAGAAAAAAAGCCCCCCCCCCCCCCAAAAAAAAAGTCTGTGATATATACATTTTGTTTAAATAGCTTCTAAAGTGATACAAATCATATGTCATACATTGCATCTCATTGTATACTCCCATAGCACAACTGTGAATAAATAGGCTGGGCCAGCTATAATTAGCATGGAAGCCATCTTGAAAAATAGTTGCAAAAAATTGAAAAATAGTTGCAAAAAGTAATGCCCTGCCACCTCCTTTTTTTAAAAGTCCAGATGATAAACATGTTATTTTCCTTATTGTTGAATTGTTCTATGTATTAGATTAGAAACCATGAGGAAGTAGTTATCCAAGGTGTTTGGGACATCAAGATTATTAATAAAAACAAACACCGGTTGGAAATATATGATTATTCAGATAAAGTTGGGAGTTTTTGCCAAGTACTGTTTTGACAGAACCTTTCAGATAACAAATAATTCAACAACAAATAATGCAGCGTACATCAATGATAATTTGTATACTGTATCCTGAAAGTTTCCAGTGGAGTATACTTGTGGGTGGTTCTTCTGTATGAACAAATTTTGCTTGAAAATCAGAAATGAGGAAAGCAGCAGACCTTCTTTTTAAATTTTATTTATAGGACCTTTATTCATTGTTCTAGATGGCCAATATAGTGCTTGTCAAGGGTGTTTTTTTTTAAAGAAAAATGTCCTACTAAGCACTGCATCTGATAATAATATTAATAATAATGCAATATCTATAGAGCGCATAAAAAGTTTCTCTATGTGCTGTACCAGCATTTGGATTATGCTCAACTTTTTAAAAGAAATATTCCTTGTTTGAAGAAAAAAATGATCCCATGAAAAGAAAAGCATGAATTGTGTTCATATATGAGTACATGATAACTTTTACAAATTTACAAAGACTCAATGATTAAATAATTGTGGTTATGTTCTGATGTTCCCACATACATGTAGAGATAGAATATCTTTACGTTCAGATATTGCTAAAAAAGGGAACCTTCACGTTCAACTTTCCACACCATTTAAGGAATTTACTTATTAATACAGCATTTGCATGACAGTGTCAACATTTAAAAAAAAAATTTCCTTTGTCTTGAAGCAAAATGGTGGGAAATAGTCTAAAGGTATTATAGCCATATAATATAAAAATGAGGTAATAAATCGGACAAGGATATAAAATTGATGATCTGTTATTGTAAAGATGGCATAAGTATCCTGTTACAAGATATGATTATGATGAGCTTGTTTTAACAATAGCCAAAGGGGAAGGAAAAGCCGTTGTTAGTATTGGAACCTCTCATAGTTGATACCTAATGCTCTGGACTTCATTGCGCTTGCTTGTGTGTATGGTACAGTCTCATGGTGCAGTCGTCGAGGATTGTATGATCGAAGCAACATGAGTTGCCATTTTGCTGCTCCGAAAGGGCTAAGGAGGAAGATGTCGCGAATAGAATCGGGAGAAGAATTCCAGAATTTTGTGGGAAAACCAAAGGGTAAAATTTTGTAAACATTTATTGTAAAGTTAGAATGAAATTTGTATAAGATATTTAATTAAAATGTACATGTACATGTATACTGGTACTAAATGACATGTGTTGGTGTAGATTGCATACTATACATTGGTATGCAGTTTGAAAGTGAGTTCATTATTCACAGGCCGTGAGACCGGCAGGTCACACTACCGATAGTGTTGGTCTTCTAAAAGTTAGAATGAAATTTGTATAAGATATTTAATTAAAATGTACATGTATACCGTAACTAATTGTAAGTAACAGGTGTTGGTGTAGATTGCATACTATACATTGCTATGCAGTTTGAAAGTGAGTTCATTAGTTCATTATTCACAGGCCGTGAGATCGGCAGGTCACACTACCGATAGTGTTGGTCTTCTAAAAGTTAGAATGAAATTTGTATAAGATATTTAATTAAAATGTACATGTATACCGTAACTAATTGTAAGTAACAGGTGTTGGTGTAGATTGCATACTATACATTGCTATGCAGTTTGAAAGTGAGTTCATTATTCACAGGCCGTGAGATCGGCAGGTCACACGACCGATAGTGTTGGTCTTCTAAAAGTTAGAATGAAATTTGTATAAGATATTTAATTAAAATGTACATATATACCGTAACTAATTGTAAGTAACAGGTGTTGGTGTAGATTGCATACTATACATTGCTATGCAGTTTGAAAGTGAGTTCATTATTCACAGGCCGTGAGATCGGCAGGTCACACGACCGATAGTGTTGGTCTTCTAAAAGTTAGAATGAAATTTGTATATGATATTTAATTAAAATGTACATACATGTATACCGTAACTTATTGTAAGTAACAGGTGTTGGTGTAGATTGCATACTATACATTGCTATGCAGTTTGAAAGTGAGTTCATTATTCACAGGCCGTGAGATCGGCAGGTCACACGACTGATAGTTTTGGTCTTCTAAAAGTTACCAGAGCATTCATGAAACTGTTGGCCATGAGACCGATAGTCCACAAGACATGTCAGTCTCTTTTGCATTTTTATGGAATAGGGCCTTAAAACCTAAATCTCACTTGCAACCCTTACCTAGCTAGCTAGCACATCAACTTGGTTTCAAACCCAGGACCTCCTAGTTATGAAACCACTGCTAGAGGGACTGTCCTCATCAGCTCGAGTTTGCCAGTAACCCGCTATTTTCATTCTCATTATCCAGAAGCTCATTATTGCATCTTCACCATAGTTAAAAACACAGGTATTTTGGCAAACTCAAGCTGATGAAAACAGGCCTCATGAACTTCCAGGTTATGCCAAATTGTAGTTTAATAAAGTGACTGCTTGCCCGGCTTGTTGAAAGCTTTGAAAAATTGTTTTTTTAGTCCCGTGTGAATTCTCCTCATTGTTAGTGGATTGTTGTTTAAAACAAGGTTTTGCAAGACCCGTGTGAACAGAGCTAATGTTTTTTAAATGTGAACGGGGCAGTGTGCCTGCAAGGCCTATAGTTCAATTTGATACTGGTGTTACATATTAGACAGTCTTGATCCTAATATCGTGCTGCAGCATGAGTTGGAACATGAAACTGATTGAGTCACTGTTATGTACATGTATACCCTAGTCACATGATGTATACTGTACATGTAAATGCTGTTATTTTCATGTGATTAATTTTTTGCTCTGAGCGACGCCGAAACATATTCGCGGGTTCTTAAATTCGCGCTGCACGCAATTCAGCCCGTTCAAAACAAGCAGAAGAAGCCATGCTTATAATATTCGCGGACACCGACTTTAGCGCGAAATCCACGAAAATTAAAGCACAGCGAATATTACCATGTTTACAGTAGCTGGAGCTGAAAATCGCTTTCGCCTCTTCCCCAGATCGAGATTGATCTGCAGGCCGAATTAAGCTCAGGTTTGGCGTATGCGCATATTTCAACCAGATCGATGGAGTGCGTGGTTTCAATTGCTTACCTGCGCTCTATAATAGTAAAATCTTTGGAAAGACGTACATGACAAGCCATGCTCCAGTCACACGGGGAGGACCGAAAGCTCCACACAAGGAAGAATGCGTGATGCGCTCATGCAGCTGATCGAAAATGTTTCAAAAAACAGATATTCACCTATTTTATGCCTTCGCTCATCCCGAACCATGAGAAATTGAATATTTACTGCATGGTTATCTGGGAGTTTTTCACATACAGTGTCAGTAGGCCTGTCCTCATCAGCTCGAGTTTGCCAAATAACCTGCTATTTTCAGACTCGGGGTATTATCCTGAAGCTCAAAATTGCGTTTTCACCAGAACGATACACTCATCACAAAATTGCTCGGAAGGGCGCAAATTAGCCCCCTATTTCCCAAATAGCAGGATATTTTGGAAACATGATCAAGATTTCTCGGGATATTTTCTCGACCAAATATCCCGCTTATTGCAACTGCAGACTAATGAAGATGCAAATTATCTGGCTAATTTGCGATCAGGATAGTTAAAATAGCGGGTAATGTGGCAAACTTGAGCTGATAAAGATAGGCCTCATTAAATATTGAAAATTTACTGCACATTCATCTTGATACTTTTTCCTCAAAGCACAAGATATGCTGATTTTTCTCCGGTTGGCTCACAACCCGGCCTTCATACGAATCGTAACATATACATGTACATGTAGTGAGTAGAAACTTACAACTGATCAAACAAAAATGTTCAGTCGGTATGAATAGGGTAGAGTGTGACTAGTTCCGTGGAGTTGTTATTGCCAACTTGCCAAGTGCATTTAATCTCTGGCGCTTTAATGATTTGTCATGAAAAGTGGATGTCAATCTGGCTCAGAGTCATCTGCACAGGTGCAATTGCCGAAAACCTAACAAACTTGTGATCCCTGCATTACAGGGCAATTAAATGTATAATTTTTCCTATATTTCCCTGCCTTTTGATACAATATATACCAGTACTGTATATACATTTAGGTACATTTCATATAAAGTTCTGTCAGGAGAAACATGCTAGTAATGATAACTTCAACATGTTAGTTTGCCATAAATGTTTCCACGGCTTGAATTGGATCTTAATATGTTTCTGTGACTTAGAAATATTAGGACTGAAATATATGTTTCATACTTATTATTGAGTTATGTGGAACTATTCACAACAGTAAGTTTGATCTTTTGTGATACCACAACCTTCTTAGGTTTTGAAGTTTGAACTAAAGGTCATATGGCCTTGGAACAAGGACATATGAAACTTGATTTAAGGGGACATGTTACAGTTGAAAGTCGCATTAAAAGGCCAGGTATTGATTAATGCTTCACCATCTTCATGCAAATGTCACTACTATTAACTGACTGTATTCTGATACTTCCTCCTCTAATTCCCGAACCTTGTTTGTCGTTTCAGATACCGTGTATGATCTGACCATCTTGTACATGTCAGACGTCACCAACTGGTGCGAGTACCTCTTCGATATCTTCAACCCCTTTGAGGTCTACCAGCAGTCGGAGGAAATCACCACGTTTCCCACTCACGAAAGCACCATCCACCACATCAAGAGCTCCCGCGTTCAGGTCCTCATCATCTCCCCCAAGTTCATCGAGACCGCGACCGCCCAAATCAGGGAGATCACCGGAAAGAACTCCGTGGTGGGACTCCTGTGCGGCGTGGAGAAGGAGGAGCTGGTCAAGCTCCAGGACAGGATACCAGACTATGTGAGCTGGCACCTCGTGGATGCTAAGGATGGACCGCGGTGCATCACGGGCACAACATTGGACATTGTGGATGAAATGATCAAACTTGCAGATCAGCAAGCCCCTCCGGACATGAACGTAACGGATGAAGTTTATTTAACAATGACGGGGAATACATGTAGAGAGCAAGAACCGCAGAGCAATTACATGCAAATGGGAAGAGGATTACATCATGGTACCGGTAAGTGTTTGTTTGTTGCCAAGCTGAGGATCAAGGATCAAACGTGTTCAGTCAACTATGTTATGGAAAAGTTCCCCTATTTTTACAAGTCCATGATCATTCCAGAAGAAATACTTTAGGAATACCACCCCATATCCCTCATTTTTTTAATTGCTCTTTGTCAAAATGCTGCAAATTTTTTCGTTTAGTATTGGGCGACCAGCACAAAGCAGATTCACAGTATCGCACCATATTCCAACTGACGATTTAGTTTGTAACAGTAGAAAATTGCTTTTTAAATACTATATACTTTTTAATAGAGCTGAAGACAAAGTGAAGTTAGCATGTAGGCAGTTCGCTAGCTCAGTTACTATGGCTCTGGCCCGGCCGAGACCGGACGGCTCGAACACGTACACAGCTGCGTGAAATGGACCTGAAGTGTCAAAGGCACCAAGCTATCTCAGAGTGCATTTGAAATCGGGACATTAAATTTACATTGAGACATTTTGGGTATTGGTGTTGGCGAGTATCACATGTATATTTGTTTTTTTTTCCACCTTGTACGATAATTGTCACCTTTAAAGCCCCTTTAATAGCTACCTGCGCCCTCTGTATAGCAAACAATGTCTAAGCGGTGACCGTTGGTCGCCAATGATCCACTTTTTCTTATGTTAATTGAGAGCTGCTTTGATGAGAAAACCACCAGTCAGTGACCCTGCAGGGAGGTCTGACCAAACTAGTGCAGATGGGCTTTAAGTCTCCTTTAAAATAAATGGCAGAGAAGTGTGAGACTCTTTTTAAACTGGCTTTGCAATCATCTCCCCTTTTCTGCAGGTCCTGCAGACAAGCAAGATGATCTGTACCAATTAATGAGTGGTAAGAACAAACATTTTCATAAATTTCATTTACATTGTAACAGTTAATTTACTTGTTTTTATTCAAATTTTTAAAGGAAAAAAGGGTGATTGGTTGTTTTTCCTAGGAGCTGTACAGTATTTGGCTACAAGTATTTGGCTACAACCATCAAAACTGACAGCCCATAAGACATACACCTGTAGTCCCAATATCTTTGGGTCCCATGAGTGCACAAACCGACATTGTCTGTAGACTGTGAGACGATCATTTTCGGTTTTGTGTGCTGACCTTCTTGCAACTGTTCATAGGGTTAGCTAGAGTGACAATCCATGAGATCAACACTTTCTTATCTTTTTTTGTTGTTGCATATTTGTTTTGCCGTCTGGTGGACTGTCCTTGTGAGCATTTTGGAACTTTCTTATTCTAGAACTATTATGTTATAAATGTATTAATAAAGATTGATTATGTACTAGGTCTGATTTTTGTTTTGTTTTTGTTCCCCCCCCCCCCCTCTATTTATGTTTTTTTTAATTTTTTTTTAATCACTTTCTCAAACAACAATATAATACTGTATTATACTTTATTACTGTTTTGGTGGCAGCACCAATAAAGCCTTAATTTGGCTTTCCTAGCTGTCTCCACATTCATATATATTTTTGTTGTTGTATTGTATTGTACATGTTTCTCTTTAACTTGTACGCTATGTTTTGTATTTTATATGTTTGTTATGATGTTTTTATGATGATAAAGTTCAATTCAATATTATATTTGTTTTGTTGGTCCCATGGGCTTTCGGTCTAGTGTGCACCTTTTGAAATGGTCACCCGTCAGTCTACTTCAATGACCTCTATGAAGTCACACTGGGCTTGTCCTCATCAGCTCCAGTTTGCCACATAACCCGCTATTTTAACAATCCGATATTTAGCCAGTTAATTTGCGTCTTCATCAGCACACAGAACATTTAGGGGGATATCAGGTCAAAAAATATCCAGAGAAATATTGGTCTTGTTTCCAAAATATCCCGCTAATTGGGATATAGCAGGCTTATTTGCGCCTGTCCGAGCTAGTTTGTGATGAGCGTATCAGTCTAGTGAAGACGCAATTTCGAGCTTTGGGATCATATCCCAAGTCTGAAAATGGCAAGCTATTTGGCAATCTCGAGCTGATGAAGACATACCTATAATTAATACACCTCTTTGAGTTGAAGTTTAATGACCTCTAATGATAATTTGTTCTTGCTTCTCTTTTAACACCCATCATCACCCCCCTCCATGCCCCCCTCATGCACCTTACTGCATGCACCTACCCCCTCTATTGCACGCAGAAGGAAAGGCAGTCCAGGAAGAGGAGTCAAATTACTTAGAAATGAATGGTACAGTTTCTATTCTTCTCTTTCTAGCCCTTTTACTTACATGTAAATATTTTCTATTTCCAACTTTAAATATCTCTATATATGTCTTTTCTTTGAATGTCAGTGTCGTTTGTTTCCATTTTATTATTCAATTTTCTTGAGATTCCTATCAGAGGACAATTTTTTAATTTTTATATTTGTGTGTGTATGTGTGTTAAGATATAGCAAGTGTTTAAAAAATTCATGTTAATTAGTCTGCAGGTGTAATGTCAAATGATTCTTTATTTTAGAGAGACTGAGACAGAGAGACAGACAGAGAGAGGGAAGAGAGAGAGAGAGAGATGTTTGTGATTTTTATTTTCTAATCTCAAATTTCTCAACAGAGTATATTACGTGCACACGTCATTGTCATTTTAAGTTTATGTCAGCAAAGCCTCACAATTTTAAATGATGGCCCACCGACAACAACCCAGGTTCTTAATAACTTAATATTTAACAGACTACACATGCACTTTGTAAATATATTTATACTAATTTAAATGACTTCGAATTGATTGGAATTGAATTATTTCAGTTCAAGAGGAGGATCTTTATTTGGATCTGGAGTTACCTCCAGGTGAGAATTTGTCCGTTTGGATAATTTGAAGCCGAAAAGGACGCTGCATGACTTGTATTATTTTTTTCATCTTATAATCATTTTTTCCATCTTATATAATCATTTTTTTCATCTCATATCTTCTTTTTTTTTACAGCTTACATGTATGGCTCAAAGCAGACAATTTATTCAAAGTTGAATCGAAAAGATTTTGAAAAAAAATTCTCTAGATATGTTTATGCTGTCATGTTATGTTTCTTTACTTGTTTCAGAATGTTCAATTCATGATATTGAATATTATCACATATAATATATATTGTGGTAAATAAACTATCTGTTTAAAGGAATAGCAAAAATCCTTGTCAGTAACTCACTAAAGCAGATTAAAACCTAATTTTCCCCACACCTTCAAATTACGGGTCAACAGGGGTCAGATTTGCTGCAGTTACAGTGACGACGTAACCAAGGACCAGATCAGCTCGCCTATACAGCTGAGGGGTTGAACTGTGCTCCCAAAGTGCAAAGTTATTGTGAATATATGCATACTCCACATCAGATGATATCATGAAGTTGATAGTTAGTTTTTAGTTTGACAACTTCCAATTTTCAAACTTTTAGATTTTGAGTTTTCACAGAGCTGTTAAACCTCTGACAGACACTAAAATAGCATATAATTGATATAATTGATAAAATTGACTAATCTATGGCTCATAAGCTTTTTGTTGATATAAAATTCATCTTTTTCATATAAAATTCATCTTTTTCATTTCTCACTTATGGCAGGATCGTTAATGTTAGGTGTAGGGTTGAAGTTCAGCATTTATTTTGGTAGTGTAGGAAAGTGGTGCAGAGAAATTGTTACCAGAGCATATGCTCATTTGTATACAACTTTTCTTTTATTTGTCTGTTTTGTTTTTGTTTTAATATATATATATATATATATATATACCGGTATATATCTTTTTGTTTTGCTCTGGAAATCCCCTCCTAACAAGCCCTGAGGCTTTTTTCGGGACACCCTTTTCTTTCATTTCTTTGTTTTTATTTGTAATACTACATGTATCTCATATGTATATATTTATGGTTATGGTTATGGTTATTTTACCTGACTGCTAAGAAAGCATACATGCTTGTAAGTAAGCAACCAGATGGCCGACGGCTTTAGGTGTTCTCCGAGGGACCTGGTAATGAGGATTTAATACTCTGTTATCACATATATTGATATTAACATGAAATTATGCATGACATACTGTTAAATTGTTTGTTTTTTAATTGTAAATATTGGAAGAAATAAATGAGAGCTATATATGCTCTCTCAAGCATGCAATCATAGAACCTTAAAGGTAAAGACCAGTTTTGGAAACGCCCCAATTTCAAAAAATGAAATGGAAGCTCTTTATTACCAATCATGTGAAAGAATATGTTTTGACTAATACATGATGATAAAAAAATTGCAGGGAAACCGCCTACTAATTGATATATTTGGGAAATTAGTTTATCTATTGGACTGTGAGAGATAAATGCACGTGTCGCGCACGTGTGCGTAGTCCCATATACATCTTTCTGTGTACAGTGCTTAAACTTTACGAAGACTGGGCCAAATTTCTTATCATTTTGATGATACTGATTACTGAATACTGATACGCTAGATGATCAACCTTTTCTGATTGATTCCACAATGTTTCTTTCACAATGCAATCGCATGACCATAACTGGTCTTTACCTTTAATTTGAATTAAAAATTAAATAAAATATTAATTGGGCTTTGGCTTCTTTTAGCTCCACCAGCGGATGATCAGCTCTACTTGGATATGGGTTCGCCCCCAGGTAAGAATAAGGAAGAGGGGGAGGAGAATTAACAAATTTGTGAACAAGCTGTAGATAAATTTAGTTTAATTGGTTTCTAGGACTTACACATGTAGAAGAAGAATTTAAAAAAAATTGTGTGTACAAGCCATAGATAAATTTAGTTTGCTTGGTATCTAGAACTTTAGACACATGTAGTGTAAATTTTGTTTAATTGGTATAATAGTTTTCATAAATTTAGTTAAATTGGTTTCTAGGACTTACACATGTAGGAGAAGAATTAAAAAAATTGTGTGTACAAGCCGTAGATAAATTTAGTTTGATTGGTATCTAGAACTTTAGACACATGTAGTGTAAATTTTGTTTAATTGGTATAATAGTTTTCATCAATTTAGTTTAATTGGTATCTAGGGCTTACACATGTAGCATGTAGAACTTGTCCAGGGATTCTGGTATATGACCGTGTTCAAACCTGAAGGAAATAGAAGATTAAAAATCTCATTTTCTTATTTCTGATAATGTTATTTAGTGGCTTGTAAAGAAAATGCTTTATTCAAGTTATAGCTATTATTGGCAGTTTTTCAGCCATTATTGCAGGAGAAAAAAGGGGATCAAGCAATTCTTAAATTGTTGAAAAACTTTGTCCTTTTACAATCATAATGAAATGAGATTGCAATTGTTATCATCACTGATTGTACAGCAGTCTCTGCATAACAGGGTAAATGTGACAGGGCTACTTCTGTTAATGGGTTGGATTAGAAAAAATCTTTTATTTGTTTCATAAAAACTTTCCCCAATTAATGGGGGTACTGCTCTTAGGTGAAAAGTGCTTTATCCATCCTTATCAATTGAATAGGGCGTAGAATTTGTTACAAAAATGATTCAACCAGTTTGAATAACCGTATGTGTCTGTTTAAAGTTTTAAACTAAAACCGAAGATAAAAAAGTATAGGTCCAACTGATGATACTTGTGGAACAAACTTAAATTGCCTACAAAGCCTACACGTTTCCAGATAGGCCTTTGATGGTAAAATTACCTAATTGAAAGGTCATTTATGAGTATGAATTTCATATCTGAAAGAAATGTAGCAAAATAACTGATTTAACTGTATCATTTACAATATTTTACAACTCCTGTATGCGTAGCACAACAGCAGAAAGACGAGGAAATTTATTTGGATATGGATGGTAAGATGCAATTTAGTGACAGATCACTACTCTAACATGTCATTCACAATATTTTAAAAGAAATGCTGCTCCTGCTGTGTATGCAAAAACTTAAACTATATTTATCCATAAAAGCATGCAAACATATTGGTACTTAAAAATAAGCTTCATCAGAAGAAACTACTGCATTATTTCGTCGCTGTTTTCACGAAGTGACGGTAGTGAAAAAAAATTGCATTCACTTTGCATTACGATTTTCCTCACTACCGTCACTTCGTGAAAACAAGGACGATTTGGTTTGTATGGTATGAGCAATGCAGAAATCTAGTACAAAAATGGTGGTATAAAGGAAAAACGGCATGTGATTTATTTATTGAATTCAATTTTAATCAAAGTTTCAACAATCAATTAACTGCAGGATAAACCATCCAGAATGAATTATAGCCATGTCCTTTCAAGTTTCAACATACGATTCCCATATCAGAGCTCAAGATTAGCTTTAAAATAAAGTTCTTTAAAGCCTGTCTGCACTATTTTGGCCAGGAGCGATTAGACCTGCCTGCATGGTCACTGACAGGTGATATTCTCATCAAATCACCTCTCAATTAACATGAGAAAAAGGGGATCATGGGAGACCAATGGTCACCCCTAAAGCATTGTTTGTTATATAGAGGGCGCAAGTAGCTATAAATAATGCAGTTGGGCTTTAAGGTGATTGGTTCAAGGTTTAAGGTGAGTGGTTCAAGGTTCAAGGTGATTGGTTCAAGGTTCAAGGTGATTGGTTAAGGTTCATTGGCTGTACAAGACTCACACAGGAATCACAAAGACATGTAGAGGAAAAATATAATATAGAATGCATCCAAATGTCTTTTATTATTTATATCCATTTTTATCTCCAAACTCTAGAAAAAAGAGAACAAATTGGCAGTGTTGTAGGAGTGATAATGTCATGCTATTAGTCAGCTAAGAATAAGACCTAAAGATTTTAATATTCACAAAGGCATGCAAGGCTTCATGGGCTTAAACAAGGAATGGTCTATTTATCATGTTAATAGCCAATTTCTTATAATTAATTAATTTTTGTTTAGTTATGTTCATTTTTGTTTTGCTTACCTTCTTAAATTCAAACATACTAACTGTACTATATAACTTTTAAAATACTTTTTAAAAAGCCTGCAATATTATTGAAAAAGTGACAATGATATGAAATGATATGCTA